AGCTGTCCTCCGGAGTTAGCTCTCTCACAAACAATGCTTCACCACCTCCTCGCCGCGAGGACTCATCACGGTGACTTTGCTGACTACCACGAAAGATTCCAGCACAATGACGCTTGTGTTACATGTTCTTGTGGTCGGCGCAAGGCGCCGACGCATCTCTTCTATTGCCGGAAGATTCAGCCGCGCTGTCGGATGAGACTCGCACCCTCACCGACCGTGGCGATCAACCAAGCACTAGGCAGAGATTTCGACAAATTCGTCAAGCTTGTGAAGGCAAGCTCTTTCTTTGAGAAGATCTGCCCGCACCACTAGATGAAACCATCCATCACAGCACTGTCGTGCTCCCTTTCCTTTGTTTCTTTCTTCTCCGGCGGCGACAGGCGGAAGGTGGTCTCAACACCTTCTACCCGCGCACGCCTCTTCCGGCTGCCACCGCAGCCCGCACCATGACCAATCTGGTCCAGTAGATAGCATCACCTGCACAACCCGCTGACGGGTAACAGAGTAGACCGTGAGCGCCTTTGAGCTGATGCCATGTTAGATAGTGTTTTGTTTACGTAGCCTCACGTAGCAAATTTAACCACTAGCCTAACACGTCCTGTGCCTCGCTAGGGGACCTGAGTGGCCTGAGGCCACTGGACGGAAAATACACCATAACATAACATAAAGCTGCAACTTAATCGCGACATAGGCAGCAGACAGAATTTGAGTCTATCTTCCACATCAAATATCGAGGTATCTCCCAGGAAGAGGACAAGTTCCTGAAATGGATTATGTTGTGCTGTTCCTACTGTTCTTGTTGCGTCAAAAAGAGCAAAATTATAGGTCTACTGAATTCCTTCTTGTACTGTAGCACTAATAGTAATCATCCTGCAAAGCCGGTCCCGACAATCACGTCCACTCGGACCTCATAGTCTCTTTCTCTTTCGGGGAGTAGCCTATATTCTATGCGACACTAAATTTGGCACGTCAAACTTGATTGAAGTGGTCCACTGTAAAGCTTCCACCGAACTACTTAGGAGGACGCAGGCATAGGAAAGAGACGATCAAATCTGAATGTAGAGATATATTTATGCAAAGAGGTACTTGTTGAATTTCCTTGTCGCTGTCTGAGATCAACAGCGCTGCTACCAAACAACATCCATCTTAGACCCTTCCTCGCCGGCACTGCACGTACCATCCAGCAGGAGATAGCGCCATATGTGGTCCCTTGCCATTGTAGGATGGGGACTGAGACAGCGCAACCCTCTCTTTGGAGGCATCCAGCATCTTTGTTCGCCATTTTTTGCTCAGCTTTCTGTTGTAATATGACCACAAACGGGGTAGAATCTGTACGTCCTGTGCGCAGTACAGGACAATGTCTTTGGGTAATGGGCGCTGTTTGAAAATATCGTAACTTCCACCCTCCTCGGGAGCAAAAAGGAGCAAGCCCTTTTTCTTGGTCTCCATCCAAACAAGCTTTTCGTCAATAGTGAAGCTCCCGTCCCGCTCAATGCATTTGGAGAGGCCATTAACACATCTCTTGGAAAAGCTTCTGGTAGCAAGCTCCATGAGTTGTAGGTCTTGTATGCCAGCTAACTTTATCTTGAAATGCCCATGCAGAGCATCCGAATCGTTACGGACGTCGAAAAAGACCTTCGGAATGGACGAAAACTCCAGGATGTCCTTGAGCGTACGGCCATTTCCCCCTGGGGTTGAGAAACATTTGTCACCCAGAGTGTATACGTCGATTAGGTAGGTTGCATTTATAGGCATAACATAGAGCTGCAGGATAGCGATGGTACCGTGGCGGGACAAGTTGTCTCCTTCTATATCGAAGTACAGCGATGGTGGTTCTTTGGGCAGGTCTTCAATGTTATTCATTAACTCGGATATGGCTCCTGCGGTGTCGATCAAGTGTAAAGCTGATGAATCGCTGAGACTAAGAGCTTCGGTATTGCCAACTATTAATTCCATCTTCTTTATGGTATTTTGTGGCATATCTTCCGCCATCGTTGTACAGCCAGTGCCTTCAAAACTGAGTAACAATGTGAGAATGCCTGACGGATATGAACAACTCCTACTGTGAGAGCTGAGAAGTATAAGTATGAACGAAAATGGTGCAACAAGACTGTCAATGACAGTGCTATAAGCAGTGGAACAGAAACGTCATGAAGGAGAGGTGTTGTGCTGGATGACACCTTTATATATTACAGCAGCAGTAACACGTGCGGAACTGGTAGAAAAAAGCTTGGCCCTACTAAGGGCTCCATGCATCATAATCTAGGCTCTAATAATCAGTCATGGGTGATCAAGAGCTAAGTAAAGTGAACACATATGAGGGCTACCCAGCCAATCATTATGTTGGCTCAGTTCTAAACGTATGCTCCTGAGATTGGTTCAGGTCTCATCATTCATTCCCTGCTGCTAATCCTGTACGACAGCGGTCTCGAACAAACTTGTTGTCGCGACTCCACGACCATGAGGGGAGGTGAGATCCATTCGCCAGAGAAAAGACTGCATGTCTTTAGTTTAGATGCAGCCATTTCTTGACGACATATTCGTTTCAACAAGCGCTGTCTTTTGAGCGTAATATTTTTTCGTCGTTCTGCTGCTCGGCGCCCCTCTGGTGCAATTGAGCGCTGTAGTACGACAGCACGGAACGGACTTGAAATAAGGTTCTAGTAACTAGAATATCGTTGACCTGGGCAAAGACTTGCTTCACCTTTTGACCGGAAGGTTGGCTGCACCTCGCCTCGGACAGCCAAGCACCCGGGAGTTCGCGAAGCTAAGTTGCTTTCACACAACGGAATTTCAAGTCCTTAAAATGTCTTCTGAATGGTTCAAACACACCACCAGTACCGAATTGCCTTTTTTTCTGAGCGCCGGCAGAAAGTCACAGTCAGAGGTGGCCCAACAACCAGTGGTCGTCTCTTGGTACAGTTGTCCACATGAAACAATGACTGAGAGTTGTGCAACCTCACTCTGACTCGCTGACTAGAATTTGTTCGTTATAAATTTACCCCGCTGATGCCGAGGTGTGCTCTGGTATGTTGGTATTTCCTATTAATACAGATCATTGGCCCCTTGAGTGTATTGTCAAGCGCGCCATCGACTCACTTTCCAACCAACTTCGTGTAAGCCGGAGCTATTGGAGGTCAATCCTGCGAACATGTAGAGGAGAGGAAGGAGGTAGTAATGTACATTTGGTCTCGAACCCGTGTCTTGCAAGAAGCTTACACAGTGACTCAAGTCCTCACAGTGATTTAGCGCTCGCATGTAATCTCACTCAAGTCCTTAAAATCAATGGCTCTTGAATGGACCCTTTACTCGGTCATAGAGTAGTTGCACCACCACTTCACGGCATGGATTTCTAGAGTTTATGTTAAACAAGAGCCTGGCATATCAATCGCGTGATCCTCCCCATCTAGCACGTTGCACATCAACTTCGAAAGCACTCAGCGTTGCTTCGCACATTGGGGCTTAAGGTCCAGCGAACTCCGCCCTAGTTAGCGGTTTTCTTGAAGAAAATTGAAGTGGCGCACTTCTGTTAGATGTTGACAGAAGCCCGGCAGCATTAACACACTGGTTGCTCTCGAATCCGGACATGGTAAAGATTAACATTGGCTGTCAGTCGTATTAATCGCATAGCCTGTTTAAACTTCAAGCCACGGCGGCCAAGATCTTCGGTAAGATCTCCTAACTAGGCCAGCAGGGTCGCATCGCACTTGGGCTTATGCCGTCTTGTTCGACACGGTCGAGATGCCCAACACTCATGGGCCACTTTCACTGGTACGCAGAAGAGGTCTCCGAATAGCGGCGCGGAGCTGCCTCTACAAAAGGCTTGGACTTGTATCCATTTGGACGCGGGACCACCAGTGTTAGCATGTTTAGTTAAATTGACGCAGCCAACGTCTTGTGGTTATAGGAGCATCTGCTATCAAACAAAGCTTCACGATGTTATGCAAGCTTTGTCGACCACTCTTCTCTTCAACTTTCAGCTCTGATGACATTTTGAGTAAATTGAAAAAGCGAGTCTCGGGCACGGCGGTCTAACGAATCCAACGGGTAGTCCATCACCATGCTGATGCACAGCCGAATTGGTCATCGTGCAGGTCGAATCAGATTCACCCTGGCCGCAATTCGCAGTCCTTGCTCGCCGCCGTGACAGGCTACCCCAAAACTGCAAAGCTGATTGAAGAAAGCTTTTCGCTGGTCGCGGCTGGAGAGGAACATGGTTGGCTTTCTTCAGCAGGGGTCTTCAAGAATGTCTCAGGAGGCATCCCCGTTGTCTCTTTCCTCTTTCCACAAACTGTGCAGCAAGCGTCCATGCCTGCACCCATTTTGCCCATCAGACGAGGGCCGGCCCGCGCGGGGTCATTATCAGCCCCCGTGTTCTGGTTGGGCCAGACGGACGGCAAGTGCCATCATTTTAATGGCCAGGTCCTGCGGCGCTTATAGATTTTCGAGATCTGTCTTGGGATGATCAGGTTTAGGGACCAACGGTTGAGTCGGGAATAATGCAGGATCTGGCCGAAGAAAAGCGAGTTCACACGAAGTTGGAATTGCTGTTTGCCACTAAGTGTACGGACCCGTCGCCAGGTTGCCAATGGCACTGAAGCAAGCAGCCATTTTGTGGTTCGGCCGAATCAGCTCGTCAATACACGTGTGAATGACGTCTTCAAAATGAACTGGAGGCTTGGTGGTGTTGCGTAGAGCGTGGATTCTGCCGGAATGGGTCTTAGATAGGACGATAAGAATGTAGTTGTTCACCACAGAGAGAGCGGGGCGGCTCACTGTCACACTCCAAGACAAATCCGCCGCCATCCTTTATGGCGATTGCTTGCAGGCTGGTTGGGCAAATTGGCCACCCAACTCGTCATCGTGCCAGCAACACTCTCATCCTCTCCAGTTCCCTTTCCACTGGACCATCCCGTGTGACCAGATTGTCCTGAACAGTTCTCTCGGCAGTCGTAGACAGCGGCCGAACAGCGCCTCTGATCCGCTGCAACTGTAACGGATCAGATCTCTGTGTGAACCGGTTTCCACCACTGCCCCAAGTCGGCCCCGCGAGGAGTGTCATCTGCCGTAGCGCCCGCCGGCAACGAGAATTTACCGTGTCTTTGCCGGTCTTCCTCAGGTCCTCTGTTCGATCCATGATACGAAGACAGTATTGATGGGCGGCTCGCCCGAGATCTTGGAACCGGGCTGCAGTCAGCACTTCCGGAGTCACGGACGGCATGGAGGCCACACGTAGGTCACGATTGTCCGGCGGCGAGAAATAAGGCGCCCAGTACTGCATCTGGAAAAAGGTTGGCTTCCTGTGATACCACGTGCCCACCGTATGGTTCGTTCCGACCTCCTTCGCTTGGTTACTGTTGAAGGTGACCATGATGGACCCACCAAGGATGCTCTTCACCCGATTGTCGAACCGCGCCCTGCATGCTCTTTGATCGGGTGCCAGTACTTGTTGAACGTCCTGTACATCCGGGAGAAAGTGGATTCGTTTCGATTTCGGTTTAGCTGACCGACAGAAGAGATGCCGGAAAACAAAGTCTGGCCATCCATCTTTCGGCGGTAGATACTTGCTTGTGGTCATCTAGCAGGGGAGCTCGGCCGGCAACCGCATGTCCGCATCGTCATCAGGCACCACGGCAGCATACACCGGCCATGCCTCGTTGTAAATCTCCCAGATTGTACGTGCTGTCACGATCCGGCTCCTGTCGGCCGCCACGTCCTCCCGCGCCCGCTGCAGCCCTGGTAAGCTGGCGGGAAGCTTACGGCCCTTGCGGCCGGCTTTAGCCCGTGCTCGGTCCCAGTACGACTGCACTTTGTCCAGCAGGTGTAGATTGTACTCACGGGCAGTTATTTACCTAGTTACATGATTAGTTAGCTGAGACCTCCCCAGATTGGAACCTGAATTTCTTTTTTTTTTTTTTTTTTGGGTGGGGAAGGGAAGAGGACTCTTCGCCAATAGGAATTTATGGGGAACACTGCAATTAGGGAACAGTCTGTCATTTATTGGAAAATAACTTGGTCTCAGTTTACCGCCTTCGCCGGGCTTTGAAATGTAGGCGCCTGTCAGTTACGCACCGGCGTTCCTGAGCTTCTCATCAAATTGTGACTGTAATGTCTGAAATGCGCACAGAATACGCCGCAAGCTCTCCTCTTCTTCACCTCCCGCTTGTGTTGCCACCCTGATGTTGAGTGAGCACGACCCAGAATGTCTGCCGCCTTCATTCCTCGGTGTGTCGGACGACATATCCCCGTCTAGAGAGTTGACAGAGCTGGAGGAGCTCACGTCTTCGTCCCATTCATTGAGTCTGGCATGGCTTCTCTCTTTGATCTTGCAGCAGTTTTCCGTTTAACTACAATCCCACCAACGACCATCGCGGGTTCTTGTCGGCGCTGCTCGCAAGGTCTTACGCTTTCAACCTGACCTGGCTTGGAGAAAGGCCGTTGGTATCTTCAAGAATAGTTGAGGATTCGCTGGAGGCCTTGGCCCTTTATAGTTCAGTCTCTTGAAACAATTTTTTTCGAGCCTTCTGCTCACTTGCCTGTCATTCTTATAGAAAAACAGACGGAGGGCGGTTGTACAGGAAAACATAGTGCTTGCGTTACATTGCACCCGAATTTTTGTTCTGCTTGTTGCTTTTATTACGGTTTCTCGAGGCTGTCCAGTCGACACGCACGGTTGAGAAGCTGTAGGATCCCGAATGTATCCCCCAGATCTATCCTCCCTCACATAGCGACACAATATTGGAGTCTCCCCTTTCGTGGGGAATGAACAGGGTATATGTTTGTTCCAGAGCAATAATTGTTGATAGGGGAGCCATGGTCCTGTCGTAGGCAGAACAACAATGCACAAGCTGATAATCGATACTCCGGACGCGTGCGAGTGGCGAAGCAGGAAGCCGTCATATGACAAGAGATATGCATGTCTTGCATACATCAGGAATGATGAAGGTGACACAAGTTGCTGTGGTAGGTTGCTTTGGTGAATGTTCGATTTGACCCACTCACCTAGCAGCGTGTCAGCCATTCCTATGCATGGTCGACAGACGAGCAAAATTGAATGCCGTACCCTCAAATGAGTCCAATCAGTCCGTGGAGGCGTCAGAAGTCTTGCATGACTGGCAGCACGGAATGAGTAGAATTTCGACTCGGTGTCTTTGATCAAAACATAAATATCGCGTAGTGGCCGGTGAATATATGATTAGCTATCAACAACAATATAAGTATCGCCAGTACCGTGCCCTAGTTGGAAGAGCAGTTGACGCAAATGTGCGATTAGAATACGAACGTGTCCAAACTGTCATTCAATGCCATCGCCATGGTATTAAAACAACTCTCACCGGAAAGGATTGAAGGTCTCTGTACTAAGGAGCATCTCCATCTTCTGAATGCCATCGATTCCTTGCGCTCCCAGGGCATTAGTCACTATGTCTCTCTCCCTCAAATCATTGTATGCGGTGATCAATCTTCAGGAAAGAGCTCCGTCCTAGAAGCTATCTCTGGCGTGTCCTTTCCAGTGAAGAGCAACCTCTGCACCCGGTTCCCAACGGAGCTCATCCTTCGCAAAGCGAGATACATGAGCGTCAAGGTGTCGATCGTGCCTCATCACTCCCGGAGTGATCCTGACAAAGCGTCCCTGTCTGGCTTTGACGAGAAACTAGACAGTCTCCAGGACCTGCCTGATCTAATAGAAAATGCGAAGGCTGCTATGGGAATTATGACTCTTGGGAAGGCTTTCTCCAAGGATCTTCTTCGAATTGAGATCAGTGGACCTGATCGTCCTCACTTGACGATTGTCGATCTCCCGGGGCTAATTCATTCTGAAAACAAACAACAATCAGCCTCAGATATTGAATTAATCTCGGATGTGGTCAAAGGTTACATGACAGAACCCCGAAGCATCATTCTCGCAGTGGTGTCTGCAAAAAATGATTATGCAAATCAAATCGTACTGAAGCTTGCTCGCGAAGCGGACCGGAGCGGGACACGTACTCTTGGCGTCATAACGAAGCCAGACACACTTAGTCCTAGCTCTAGTAGCGAGGCTATGTATGTATCTCTAGCACGGAACCAAGACGTCGAGTTCCGCCTTGGCTGGCATGTGTTGAGAAATAGGGATACCGATATTGAGGCATGGACCTTGGCGCAGCGCGACACAAACGAGTCTGAGTTTTTTCAGGGGTTGCTTGGTCGAGCCTTCCTACCAACCAACTGGGTATCAAGACATTAAGAGAGAGACTGAGCACGGTGTTGCTGCATCAGATAGCTTCCGAGCTGCCTAACTTGATGGAGGAGATAGCCACAAAATCTGCCCAGTGTCAAGATCAACTAGACAAGCTGGGTCAACCGCGAACCAATGCACGCGAGCAGAGACTATACCTTGTTCAGATCAGTCAAACTTTTCAAGCCACTGTCCAGGCTGCTACCGACGGTACATACGGCGATCTATTTTTCGGTGACGCGGCATCAGCACCCGGTTACCGGAAACGAATTCGCGCTGTAGTCCAAAACTTGAATCGTGACTTTGCCACCGAGCTACGCGCACGCGGTCGGCGATTCCGCATAGTGTCAGACCCGGAGACGGATTGTGATCCCAATGATCATGCAATATTACTGACCAAGGATGATTTTGTCGCAAAGGTGGTCGGGATGATTGATCAGAGCCGTGGCCGAGAGCTGCCAGGCACTTTCAGTCCAATGATTGTGTCGGATTTATTTAAAGAGCAATCATCCCCTTGGAAGCAAATTGCGGCCGCCCATGTGAAAAACGTCTGGAATGCAGCAAGGTTGTTTCTAAATCAGCTCATTGTTCACATTGCTGATGAAACGACCGTTAACGCCATCTCGGAGACAATCATAGAACCTGCTTTAGATTCTATCCTCAAAACCTTGCACAATAAGGTATCTCAGCTCCTAGAGCCTCATCGGTTCGGGCACCCCATCACATACAACGCTTCCTTCACAGACACGTTATTGAATATTCGCCGTGAAAGGCGGGCATTGCATTTTTCGGACATTCTTAGAAGTGCGTTTGGAGACTTTAGCGCGACTTCGGGCCGCAGAAGTGTGACAGTGGACATTGGAGATCTGCTCCAGCGACTCATACAACCAGAGGAACAAGATATGAGTCGACTTGCCGCGTCGGAAGCATTGGATTGCTTGGATGCGTATTATGAGGTAAATGCATGAATTTCGATGAGGGAAGAGGGATGCTAACTATATTTTTATCAGGTCGCCCTGAAGCGTTTTACTGACGATGTAGCAGTCGAAGTGATTGAGGTGTGTTTGGTAGGTGAACTGAGACGAATTCTTACTCCGCTTAAGGTATCATTGATGGCGGAAGAAGTCATTGCACGCATTGCTGGGGAGACCAAAGAGAGCCGCGCTGCCCGCGATGAACTCAATAGCAAGTTGAAGGTGCTCCAAAGCGGATTTGACATGTGTAATAAGTATTCGGGATATCGTGTCACCGGTAAGGGCCTGAATCTATGAAATAGATGAGTTGGTTATTAACTTATAGTTACAAGACCTGCTCAACGGCAAATATGGTAGTGATGACGCCAGGTCTGCCCGTCTGAAAGGTATTGTGAAAGAGACTGTGGAAATTCCACAGGGCCGTGCTTACGACACATTGGAAAGAAGTACTGCAGACTTTCTTCCCTCAGCGACAGACCAGTACTCGGAAGAAGACATCACGTCACCGACGGAGGCTTACGATTATCCCCCGGAGTGTGTTGCAGCGGAGGAATGTCCAGTTGAAGAGCCTGCCGCGACAGTTGACGATGACTCTTGGGCCACCACTGTGGGCAAAAAGAATAAGAAAAAGGCGAAGAAGTGTCAAGGGTTTACGGGCATGAAAGCATCAGAAACAAAGTGTGAGGAGCGAGATTGGTAGGCAAGTTGAGGGAAGGTCGAACAGCTAATCAATTTAACACCCACCGTGGGGATTTATTACCATTTTCTTTAGCACAGATGAGACAACTAGTAAGGGTCAACTGATCAGAGGAGGCCGAACAATTAATCAAAATACCACCCCGTCTGCCACACTCCATCGATATGAAACGATTCTATATCACCACTTGGGCGAGTTGTGCTTAACTAGTAAAACCCAAAACGACAGGGCTGTATTGAGGTAGCGTTTGGCAGGGTAGTGTGATTCGGAATGCGAAAATATTTCCTACCCAAGGCTAAACTTGCTAATCGGAAGAGAAGCCGGTATGTGTAACTATTTGTGCTGTTTGTGCTCGGCATGTAGTCGCCGCGCCCATGCTGGGATTGTCTAGCCTGATGACACCTGGCGGAAAGAAAACATGCGTGAAGGAGAGAACAAGCTTGACGGCCTGAACTTCCGGGCTACCTTTGCAAGTCTTGTTGGTCCCGCCTACAAACATCGTAACGCCATCCCAGCAACCCACACTGTAGTCTAAGCATGTGAAGAAGCCAGGCACAATTTGACTTGACAGCTTGATGCTATGCAAAAATTACCTCGTCGGTCCGAGCTAAGCTCTTTGCATGTACTGTGCCGCATCAAGGCAACAACATTGCCATGGGCTGCGATATTGTGGGCCCAGCTCTGCCGAACCCAGAGCTTCGGCACTGGATCGGTTTGTTGTGTCATTTAGAGTGAAATCCACCTATGCTGCTGCCCAACTCCCGAGAAACACAAGCTCGCGGTGAGCCTCGAGCCTTCTTTCTCCTTTCTTCCTCAAGTCTAGATAGACAATACGAAGGCACCAGCTAGTCGAACGAACTCCGGCCGAGCTCATCATCTGTGGCTTCGTTCTCGTCTCTGATGCAAGCCTGTGTCGAACCGATTCTGCTTTTTGGCGCGGAAGCCTGGTACCCAGGCACAAAAAACCTCGCCACGCCGAAGGCAGATAGACCATACGTAGGCTTTGCGGCTGCAGTTATTAATACTCTTGTGACGATAGAGACATGGTTTTACGAGAACATAACGATGGAGAAAGCGGTGTGGCTGTCTTGAAGCACCAGAGATCAGGAGATCTAAGCCGTGCCTGGCTAAGGAGCGAAGCAGTGATGTTCGCGGGGGAAGAAGAGCGTACATACGCCAACCTTGGATGAATTTTCTACTTCCTTCTTTGCATTGTGTCACGCCAGCCTTGCATGAATTTTCTACTTCCTTCTTTGCATTGTGTCGTCTGGCCGGTGGGAACGCCTTTTGTTCCCTCAGATGGCCCCACTACTTTCATTTACATTCCAACAGCGTGAAAGCTCGATTCGGCGAGCATGGAGCCAGATTTGAGTAGTGTTATCATGTTGAGGTGTCGTTTTGTTGTGTATTTTTCCGTCCAGTGGCCTCGGGCCACTCAGGTCCCCTATGCGGGGTGCAGGACTCTAGGCTGGTGCTAAATTTGCTGCGTGCAAGTAAGTAAACGAAACCCTATCTAACATGGCATCAGCTCAAAGGCGCTCGCAGTTCACTCTGTTGAGATGTGGTTGATTGATTGATTGATTGATTGTATTTTCCGTCCAGCGACTTTGGTCGCTCAGGTCTCCTATCGGAGCACAGGACGTGCTGAGCTAAACTATGTACAACTTCAACCGCAGAGAAGCTTCACCCAGCGCTTCCTTCCACCGCAGAGAAGCTTCACCCAGCGCTTCTTGCAAGACCTCGCAGGTTGAGCCGTCAGGCTCACTCTCAGGAGGCGGCTTACCTACACTGACAGAGGAGATAGGTTGTCCCCAGCAC